TTTCTCTCTCCAAATCCTTTATTATTTTATTCTCATAATATACATTCTTTACAACAAACAACTCCAAAATAAACGGACAACTCCAAAATAAAATCATATGTAACAAAACCATGAGTCTCATGTTTTCATTTACACTGATCTCCTCTCCGATACCTTTACTTGATATTTCTTGCTGCTTTCTGCTTTCCTTATAGAATCTTTATAAAAAATTAAATCTCTTAAATACTATACCAATCTTTAACAATTTCAATTAATCCCTTCACCTCCCTCCTCACAGCCTAGTACTGTACTTCCCTCCACCTGTGTGCAATCTTCTTTACCTGCTATTATTTTTGTTATTGTTGCATTATTCACTTTATTTGTTATTCCATCCTTAATATATTATTATCCTATCTCCTTGCGCCTTTTAAACTTTTGCATATTGATTTTTAAGCTCCAGCACTGACTTTTTCCATGTATTCCTTAACACATTCCCACAGAGTCCTTTTCGTTGGGGATAATTCAGATGGAAATTCCCAGGTGTCATAAAGGCTATTTATGTATGCTACTACTGCGGCCCGTGTTTTGTTAGCCCCCAAAACGGAAAACGGGTGAGGAGAAGAATGGCAACTCAAACTGATGGAATACGCGCAGCTGGCAGACTTAACTTATAGAATAAGAGAACAAGAAGAATATATGTTTAAAGAAGAATGAAAAGTGTTTAATGGGTGAAAACTGTGTACATTTGAAAAGGCTGGCAGCATGAAGATAAATATAGCTTTTGTAAAATATGCAGGGATCTATGGCATGCAAACTGAACCATGGAAGGAGAAGAGGGGAAGTCATTGATATTTTAAGGTTGTTGAAATGAATAGTCTAAAATGTAAAATACAAAAACTTAATAAAAATTATATATGTAAAGAAACATCACTGTCCCTAGCTGTAGAGCTGGAAGGGACCCCCCCCAACTCCAACTCTGCAATTCTATGATTCTATGATTGTGTGCCAATGTGATACTTGATCGCGATGGGAAATTCAATGCAACAAAATCCCAACGGTGGGAATTGCAAAGGCTGACATTATTAAATTCCTATGCCACCCTTCATCCGAAGATCAAAAGGCGGTTTGCACTTTAATAACAGAAGAAACACACACCATCATAACGTACGAAAACGATAATCCGAGTATCAGGTTCTTTGATCTTAATTTCATTGCTCCTACCATCTCCACAGAAGGACACTGACAGCTCCAGCTCACCTGGGATTAATCTTTAACGAAAGGCCCATTTCGCATTTCTTGGCCCAGAAGCTTCTGTTGCTCAACCCTAATTGCTCAAGGTAATACTTCTTCTCGGAATATACGGACTCACCCTTCTCTTCCAGATTTCGCCCTGTTTTGGCAGGACTAGAAAGTTGATGTGATGCCACCCAGGGTGGCTGGGGCAACCCAGTAAGATGTGCGGGGTATAAATAGTGAGATTATCATTATTGAATAGGACGTCCCTATTTTCATCAGAGAAATGTTGGAGTATGGTTACCAGATGTCCCCGTTTCCCGGGGACAGTCCCCGGATCTACAAATCTGTCCCCGGACAAGATCCGTCCCTGGAATGTCCCCGGATTTCATTTAATGTCCCGGATTTATATTTTAAGTGTTGTAGATTTATTAGTAGGGAATGAATGTTGCTTGGTTAGGTTCAATGGCACAAGACATATCATATGGGGACTTCCAGCGAGGCAACATGGTGGGCGCCATGGCAGTGAACAGCTCCTGAAGCCAGCCAGAGCCAGCTGCGCTACCAGGCTGGCTCCGGGCTGCGGAGACGGCCGCTGCTGCCGCCACTGCCGAGGGGGAACCGGGGACGCCTGGCACGTCAACGGAGGGAACCGCTGACCCTCCCGTGACCCAAATTGAGCCGGGAGCGAGAGCCCAGTGGCGCTCCAGGGCCAGGAAAAACCCCAGAGCTGACACAGGGAGAAAGAGGAGATGAAATGGAGACGGAAGAGAGAGACAGAGGAAGGAGAAAAAAGAGGGGAGCCCCAACCTTGCCGTGCCACGGCAAACTTTGCCGTGCCACTGCCGCCACTGCTGAGAAGGAGAGGTAGGAGAGCACTGGGAGGGCAAGGACACGTGGCTGAGCCCAGGAGGATCCGAGCCTACTCCACGGCGGCTAGCGCTCCAAGAGAGCAGGCCGGGGCCCAGAGGAAGGCTGTGTGACAGAGGAGACCACAGAACAGAAGATATTACTTCTTAATTTTTTTAAAAAATAACTTTTTTTAATAACTTTTTTTTTTGCTGCGGCGAGGCTCCTTAGGGGGTCCTTGCCATGGGATCGCATTCACCCAGTGCTATACCAGCTGCACTGGCTCCCGGTGGAGTACAGGGTCAGGTTTAAGGTGCTGGTTTTGACCTTTAAAGCCCTTCACGGCCTAGGACCCATGTACCTACGGGACTGCCTCTCCTGGTATGCCCCATGGAGGACCTTAAGGTCCATAAATAGCAACACCCTAGAGGTCCTGGGCCCTAAGGAAGTCAGATTAGCCTCAACCAGAGCCAGGGCCTTTTCAGCACTGGCCCCGGCCTGGTAGAACGCTCTGTCTCATGAGATCAGGGCTCTGATCAGGGATCTGATTTCTTTCCGCAGGGCCTGCAAGACGGAGCTGTTCTGCCTGGCCTTTGGCTTGGACTCAGTCTGACCCTTATGTTTCCCTCCCTTTATGTGATCTATGGGCTACTTTTAAAACGAGGCTGCATTTTAAATTGCATTTTAACCTGTATTTTAAATTGGTCCCCCCCCAATTGTGTTTTTACTGTAATTTTTACTGGTGTTAGCTGCCCTGAGCCCAGCTCTGGCTGGGAATGGTGGAGTATAAATAAATTTTATTATTATTATTCTCTTTTTTTTAAAAAAAAGTGTCCCCAATTCTTTGAAAAAAATCTGGTAACCTTATGTTGGAGAGTATGCCATCCTGGCCAGGAGCCATCTATAGCAATCAACCAGAATGGGAAACTTGCAAAGTCAGAGGGGATGTGAGGCACACTTGGAGGGCTCCATGGGACTGCTTCCCAGGTACTTCTGTTCACCCAGCCAGGTACTGCCTCCCCATTGCCCTGACTGTCAAGTCCGAGTGGCAAATTAATTTCACAGTTGCCCAGACCAGATGCATCAACTGTTTAAAAGGTAAAGGTACCCCTGCCCGTACGTGCCAGTCGTGTCCGACTCTAGGGTTGTGCACCCATCTCGCTTAAGAGGCCGGGGGCCAGCGCTGTCCGGAGACACTTCCGGGTCACGTGGCCAGCGTGACGAAGCTGCTCTGGCGAGCCAGCACCAGTGCAGCACATGGAAACGCCGTTTACCTTCCCGCTGGAGTGGTACCTATTTATCTACTTGCACTTAGGGGTGCTTTCGAACAGCTAGGTGGGCAGGAGCTGGGACCGAAAGACGGGAGCTCACCCCGCCGCGGGGATTCGAACCGCCGACCATGCGATTGGCAAATCCTAGGCGCTGAGGTTTTACCCACAACGCCACCCGCGTCCCTATCAACTGTTTAGCCAGGGTTTAAGTCATGAAAAGGAAGATTCCCCAGCTGGTTATGCTTCCCAAACCTATTTTATCTAATCCCAGATGCTGACTCACTTTCCAAATGATGAGAGAAAAGGTGGGTGGGGGACAAATTGACTCCCCCTCCCCATTCTAGAGAAATTATGCCGGCCTGTCGCCTTCTGGTAATGGTAGCCAAGATGGGCCACTTCTGCCACAGTTGGAAGACCTCTGCCAACTGTGGAAGAACGGCAGATGAAGATGATGGACTTTATGGAGCTAGCTGACCTTACTGGAAGAATCCGCGACCAGAAAGGAGATGAATATCAAGAAGATTGGAAGAAATTTAAAGACTATTTGAATAAATATTGTAATATTAAAAATTAGAGGTTACCTCAAAGTACCAAACAGGCCTAGGATTAAATTAGGAGTTAGTTAAATAAATGAGATTTAGAATGTTAAGAAATCTGATTATAATTGGAATATTGCCTTTGAATAATGATATTGGAAAGAAAACTGTTACATTCAGATACAAGGAAATTCAGATGGGAGGGACTAGAGGAAGTCTAGCAATATGTTTATGAGGTTGGGAGTTTAATTAATTAACTAATTTGTGTTGTTTATGTGTTTGTTGTTATATTTTCTGCTTTTATTCGTTTTATTTGCTCTATTTGCTCTTTTATTTTTGTTTTACTTGTTTTACAGTATGTGTTATATTTGTATGAAACTCAATAAAAAATATTTTTTTGGGGGGGAAGATGGGCCATCTCTGCTTGCCCCTGGTATTTTGAACCATGGCTTGGCTGTAGTTACTGAATGGGGTGCAGAATCAAAGAATCGTAGCATTGTAGAGTTGGAAGGGACCCCGAGGGTCATCTAGCCCAACCCCCTGAAATGCAGGAATATCAGCTAAAGCATCCCTGACAGGGGCCCCTCCAACCTATACTAAAGACCCTCCAAGAAAGGAGAATCCACCTCCCTCCACGGCCAAACAGCTCTTAATTTAGTCAGAATCTCCTTTCTCATAACTTGAAGCCACTGGTTCGAGTCTTACCCTCCAGAGCAGGAGAAAATGAGCTTGCCCCGCCTTCCACGGGACAGCCCTTCAGATATTTGAAGGTGGCTCTCTCCTATCTCCTCTCCCCCAGCCTGAGCAGCGGCCTGGCTGTGGTTCTGGAAAGCAGAAGGCAGTCCTCCCACATTGAGTGTCCCAGTCTTCATGGCTTCACAACTGCTGGCTCCGAATAAAATCCATGTCTCGAATTGTACTCTGGCTGTTTTGCAGAGTCAGAGTGACCCCCTGCAAGAGGCCCTGGGCTCTATGGGGGAAGCTCTGGCGGCTAAACCGGTTTCACAGGTGTTTGTGGTCGCTGGCTTGGCCGTGAATGATGACAGGTCTGGCGTTTCGCTCAAGCACAAAACTCAACCATTTAAGTTACCCCTGGAAATAGAGAGAGAGAGAGAGAGAGGTTGTCTCTTACCTTTTCCAGAGATCGGTGCATTTCTTTGGGGTCTAACTGGAAGAGGTTGCCTACGAAAGGCAGCGGGGCTGGGCCGGGGGGCATCTTCCCACTTTTCCTGCCCCCGCTTTTCCCATTCAGGTACAAAACCAGACAGGACAGGCAGAGCAGCAGCAACGCTGGGGTGATTGCCCCGCTGAAGTCCATGGCTGCAGAGAGAGGATGAACTGGACTTTCCCCTGTGCACTGAATATATGGGTGCGTATATAGTTCCCCCTGTATTTTACTCCTGAAGTTTACGGCTGTTTACGGTCCTGCTCGGGCCTGGAGCCGTCTCTCCCCCGCAAGGCTGTAGGGAAGGTCTGGCAGGGAGCCACGCGGCGCGTCCGACTATCCTGCCCCCCAGCAGGACGTTGTTGTAAATCAGCCGAGCCGGTGGGGAAAGGCACCCAACTCCAGCTTCAGCTCTCTCTCTCTCGACTTGAGAAATATTTGTTTACATTCCCAGCTTCCAGCTGCCAAAGTAGGATTTTTTGAGTCATGCACACTTTGCATGTTGCGGCTCGTGATGTCCTTCTGGTTTTCATTTCACTTGGCTTTCCACTCCCCAGTTTCCCCATTTTAGCCCCATTTCACAGGCCTCACCCGGACCCTGGAAACCTTAAGAACACCAGGAGAAGCTGACTGCTGGTTCAGGCCCAAGGGTTAAGTCCAGCATCCTGTTCCTACAGAGCCAAATGCCCCTCTCCCCCCAAGAACTGAAAAACCTAGATAGACTGCCACTGGACCTGGAGGTTCCATGAGAATGTAAGAAGATTCTGGCTGATGGATCAGGCCAATGGCCCATTCAGGTCCAGCAAGCTGTTCTCAAATGTGGGAACTCAGGGAGCAGAATACAAGCTCAAGAGCCTTCTTGTGGTTTCCAGCATTGGGATTCAAACTTCAGATCAAATTCTGGGGCTTAAATTAAGCCCTAAGGATGTGATGGCCACCAATCTAGGTAAAGGTAAAGGGATCCCTGACCATTAGGTTCAGTCGTGGCCGACTCTGGGGTTGCGGCGCTCATCTCGCTTTATTGGCCGAGGGAGCCGGCGTACAGCTTCCGGGTCATGTGGCCAGCATGACTCTGGTTCTGGCGAACCAGAGCAGCGCACGGAAACGCCGTTTACCTTCCCGCCAGAGTGGTACCTATTTATCTACTTGTACTTTGATGTGCTTTCGAACTGCTAGGTTGGCAGGAGCAGGGACCGAGCAACGGGAGCTCACCCCAATCGCGGGGATTCGAACTGCCAACCTTCTGATCGGCAAGTCCTAGGCTCTGTGGTTTAAGCCACAGCCACCCGCATCCCGGCCACCAATCTAGATGGCTTTGAAAGAGGACTGGACAAAATGAAAGATGAGGAGAGGGCTGTCAGTGGAGGATGTCTGTGCTCTGCCTCTATTATCTGAGTCTAGAAAAATTCAACCTGTGCAGCAGATAGAAGTAGTGCAACTCATGCAACACGTTGGTGATTAATATACACAGAATAATAAATCATACATTCTTTATCAACCTTCTGAGAAAAATGCAAACCATTAAACAAAGCCACAGACTTGCAAACTACCCAACCTAAGGTGAACTCATAATGTCTGGCTTCGATAGATTTTTCAAATGCTTAACTCAGTCTTTTAGAGAAGTTCGTGAAGATACCAACAAAAGGTAAGTTCGGTGTTATTCACAATACCGAGAGATGCTAGTGGAGTTGTAGATAGATGTTAATGAAGTCCAAGTAATCAAGAGGCCGCTGTTCTTTTTTTTTTTTAAAGATATTTATTAAGGTTTCAAAAGTTATATAAAAGAAAAAACAGTAATACAAACAAAACACAGACAAAAACAAGTATAGTTTCAATCCCTTATTTTCTTATAACTTACTTCCCCGACCTCCTCATACCTCCCCTTTCTGTATTCCAATTTCTAATTCATTAGTTCAGCAAATCCTCTCCCTTAATTTTACTTAACTTTTGGCCTTTCTTTTCTTTTTACTTAATAATTACAGCTGACAACCACATAATTTCTAAAATCAACATCGTTCTAACATTCATTAATTTTGCAATGTTTCCTGAGATAGTCTTTAAATTTCTTCCAATCTTCTTCCGCCGTCTCTCTTCCCTGGTCACGGATTCTGCCGGTCATTTCTGCCAGTCCCATGTAGTCTATCACCTTCATCTGCCATTCTTCCAAGGTGGGTAGATCTTGTGTCTTCCACAAGAGGCCGCTGTTCGCTCCCAATGGGGCCCTTTACTGGGGCTTGTAGGTAGCACACTCCCAAGATAGCTTTCCGTCTCGAAGTCTTGATACATATATTGATATTCAGTCTTATAGAGAATACTCTTTCTTAAGGGCCGCATCGGGGGAGAACAGCGGCCTCTTGATTACTCGGACTGCCAGGGCGAAACAGGTGCAAAACGCCGGCACCCTGTCGCCTACACCTTCATTAACATCTGTCTACAACTCTGTTATCAGAGTTGGCAATGCTTCAGAAACCACAGGAAGGGAGACACAATCCTGTACCGCCTTGAGATTTTAATGGAAGGCAGCATCCGAAACACATTGTGCAAGAACGTGGTGTTGCAAAGGAAGCTATTCATCTCAGTTTGCCTAAGGCATCCTGAGTTACACACATTCCTCTGAAGCTTGAGGTTGTGGCGCACAGTTAAACTGTGGAACTCCCTGCCACAGGAGGCAATGATGGCCAGCAACCTGCGTGGCATTAAAAGAGGACTGGACAAATTCATGGAGGAAGAAAGGGCTGTCTGTGGCTCCTGGCCAGGGTGGGCTCTGTTCTGCTTGCACAGTTGGAGGCAGCAAAGCTTAAGAATCTCAGTTGATGGAAACCCCAGGAGGGGAGAGGCTCTTGTGGTCGGATCCTGCTTGTGGGCTCCCCTTTCGGGCGTCTGCTAAAGAAGGCTGGGCTAGAGGGGCCCTTGGCCTGTTCCATCAGGCTCTTCTTATGCCCTTGTTTGCTGGCTTTCAATCTTTGCAGCCGTAATACGCTTTTCACTCATCATTAAGGGTTTATTTTCTTTGGAGATTTGCATCTGTTGGATATTGCATTGATCCAACTTGTTGTTCGTCCTTCGCAAGAGAGGGATTTCAGGGCAGGTGTGGCACCTGAGCTTTGCAAATGGTGCTGCACAACACACACACACCCCTCTTTGGACATGTCCCAAATCCAGGGCTTACCTGGGACGGGGCTCAGGTTACCCCACACCTGCCCCTGTCTTGGCCTCCACCAAAAGACGGGGAGATTATCTCCAAGGTGAGCAAACAGGCAGCAAGGCAAGGCCTCCATTGTCCATGGCAGAACACACTCTCGCCCTTGATGAAGCTACCAGGAAGCTGCCCTGGTGCCCCCTGCCAGGAACGCCCCCTCTGCCCTTTCCCTGCCAGCCCCAGGTGAGAAGAAGCACATAGACAAGGACTTAGCCCCCCCCAAAGCCCAAGGGCTCACCTCTTGCATTTTGAGCAGGAAGCTATCGATGAAGTCGCGAGGGCAGCTGGGGTCGAAGGTCGCCTGGTGCTCCTTGACCATCTCCAGAATGAAGAGGTGCAACTTCTCAAAGTTGGCGAAAAGTTGGTTGTGAGGTCCGGGCAGGTAGCGCAGGATGTGGGGGAAAGTGTTGTATTGAGGCATCTGATCATAGCCTGCATTATAATCAAGGCTTATATTTTGATCAGGTTCCTATATTCTAAAAATGAGCTTAAATTCACAAATGTTTCTTTCGGCAGAAAACCAGCAGGCAGCTGGCAAGCTCTTAGGCAGAGGGCCCCTCTGGTTTATTGCGGTCATAAAAAAGGCTGAGAGCAAAAGGTCACTGACCCTACATGTTACAGAATATAATTAAGCTGTAATAAAAGCAGCTAAATTAAGAGTTGGTAAATAGTAAGGTTTTGCCATTTGGCCTCTCATCATACAAAGAGTCATTTGCCTAAAGGTCAAAAAGGCTAAGCATCTGGCTGGCAAGAGGGGGAGTAAAGAGCCGTTTTTTAAGCTGTTCCTTGTTCCTTTTAAATTGAGATCCTTTTACTCTGCAATATTCCTTTTCCTTTTAAAAGGTTATTTATGTTATGTATAATATGATATTCTGTTGTAAGCATCTAGAAAGTAAGAAATGTTAGATTCTTATTTCATAGAATCATAGAATCCTAGAGTTGGAATAGACCACAAGGGCCATGGAGTCCAACCCCCTGCCAAGCAGGAAACACCATCAGAGCACTCCTGACATATGGTTGTCAGCCACTGCTTAAAGACCTCCAAAGAAGGAGCTCTTTCATAGATGGTGTGTGAGAAGGTAACTCAAGATCTCTGTTTAAGATAAAATTAGCCACCATCTGTTTTGGAGTGAATAGGGCAAAAGGTGAAATGTTAGTTAAGGCGCCTTGTCTAGGGCAAAAGGTTATCTGGTAATTAAGGTGCCTTGTAGAGGATAATGGCTACTTGTTTGCCAATTATAAATAGAAGGAAATATAGTTCTTTGTCTCCCATAAAAGGTAATAGGAAATGGGTGTATCTTTTATGATTGGTTCTAGCAAACAGCCAATAGGAATTTCAACCAGGCTGATTGGACAGAGGCAGCCAAAGGAGGAGCAAGGGGGCTGGGCTGAGGAAATATAAGTGCTGGCCATAATGGCAGGAGGCAGGCCAGAGCTTGGTAACCATATACCACTGTGCCTCTCATTTATTTGTCTGACAAATAAATTATTATTTTAATTTCTCTATTGCTGCGTTGAATATTTCATTCCAGCTAAGCGTTAACCACAAGCAGGGTGCTACAGCACAACTAGGGAGGGAGGAGAAGACGAAAGATGGAAGGCCCCGACCCTGCAAGTACTCGCTTGAGCGAGAGGGCAAGTGTTTCAGGGAGAGTCTCCCTTCCACAGTCCAGCTTAAAAACAAAATCCCCAGGTATGTCAAAATGGGAAAGCAGAGATGTTTTTGAGAAATGAATGAATGAATCGAGAAACGCCATTCCGTCAGAAGAGACTTGCTTCCACTTTGCTGAGAAAATACACAAGGGAGGACTTTACTAGGCTTCAGGGGAGGGAAGGAAGGAAGGAAGGAAGGAAGGAAGGAAGGAAGGAAGGAAGTAAGTAAGTTCTGGATTTGTGTGGGGAATGCTGCAGTTGAAAGCTCAACAACATTGCCAAAATAAGCTCAACAACCCTTCTGTCCAGATTTCCACTTTTTGAAATATGGCAGCCCCCAATATTCCAATCTTATTGACCCAAACACTGCAAGATCTACTAACACCCAGCAGGTCCTTCCTTCTCACTTTTTTCAGCCAAGAAGAAAGTGCTGGCGAAACAAAGGTCTCTTGGCAGACCTTTTGTGCCGATTGTGTTGCTGAAGAGAAGAATTAGCCTTGGGACAAACGTGGCTGTCCTAGTTTCTCTTGGCTGCCTCTGCAAGCCCTGAAGTGG